TTCATAAGTGTGTATAATAGTTGAAAGATCCCAAACTCCTATTTTCTTCTTAAACTAACAAGCAACTTAATGAGGGAGGTATTATCTGGGTCTGAACTCACTTGAAAAAATACCTTCAATGTGGCATCTCCCAACAGAAGCCATACAAAGTCAAGGAAATGTTCTTTCTTATTTTCACAGTAACATGGCACAACCAAATAAATATAAGGAGAAGGAGAATCTAAACAAAAATACTTTGGAATACTTTCAAAATCTCCTTTTCATATATTTGACTCCAAGGTTTTACATTTCATATATTTGACTCCAAGGCTTTACATTTCAAATAGTGCTGACTAACCAGTCATGGTAGCAGAAGCTTGTGGGATATGCCAACAAGGCAGAAGCAGGAGGACCATGAGTTCAAAATAGTACTGATGGGAAACGATAAAAAGTGGCCTCTGTTCTGGTTCCCTATACTACCCAGTCATGTCCCTCCCTGTCACTGGTCCTGAATTTTCACTTTTTTTTTGCTTGTTTTGGTGATTGGAATGTGAAGTCTCCTCCATAGTCTCAATTATTAAATACTATTAACTTATTAAATTATCAGTTATTAAATTAATCACTAAAATAAATATTTAAATATGGTCACAGAAAATAATCTCCAGGGATGGGCTTTGAGTGCTAATAGCCTCAGCCAAGTTTCAGTTTGTTCTCTTTGCTTCATGTTCAGCACTGATGATGGGATCGCTCAGCTTCCTGCTCCAGCTGCCTGCTATCATGTCTCTCCTGTCATTATGGACTCTTCTTCTAGAACTGTAATCCAAAACACTCCTCTTCTATAAATTGAGTCATGGTGTTTTATCAGAGCAACAGAGAATAATTAGTCCACTTGTGTACAACTTTAGGGGTGGGCCTACCTGATGGCCACCCATTTGTTACAATACCTTCCTCTCCCCTTTTCAAGTAATTGAAAGTCACTCTAACCAGGTTACTTTCTTGAGCTAGCCCAGAGAAGCAATACAGTCACTGATACTGAGGAAGCTTAAGAACCTGTAGTCTGGCCTTCTAAGACAAGGTAAAACCAATATTAAGGAGGTTGTTCTAGTTAGCTTTACCTGCCTACTTGATGCAGCAGCCCAGAGTCACTTGAGAAGGGAATCTCAGTTGGGGGATTGCCTTGTGGGGACTGTTAGTTGGTGTATGAGGCTCCAGTCTACAGTGGGTAACACCACTTCCTGGGAATGTGGCCTCTCCTTGTATAAGAAAGCTAGATAATAGCCTGCAAGGGAGTCAGCCAGGAGCATTCCTCTGTGGTTGTCAGCCTTCAAATTCCTGATTGAGTTCCCTTCCTGCCTTTTTCCCAATAATGGACAGTAACCTATAAAAATAAGCTAAATAAATCCTATCCTTTCTTATGTTCATATATGTCAGAGTGTTTTCTCACAGCAACAGTAAGGAAATTAGAACTGAGGCCTAGGATGAATTCTTGATCGATAAATCACTACATACATAAGTCTGAACAAGTGAATGAGCCCCTTTCATTCATCTTTGTAATGTATCCACTAATTCAAATGCATTGAAACTGTAAAAATGTAAGGAGATGGCCTTTTCATGATGCACGTTTATGGACCCAGTAAACTGGTAGCTGCACTAACACTGGAATCATGCAATTTACCTGGCCTTCTATCCTGACACCAGCTAGCCATGTTCACAAATAAAAGTATGCTGAATATCTTGATAAGTCTCAAGATACTAAAAATGATGATAAAACACGAAACTATAGAAAAATGCAGGCTCCACTGAGTTAAAATAAGATTACATATGGTTCTATCCACAGTCTCCATCCCTGATACCCAAGACAAAGACCTCAAAGTTACCTTTGAATCCCCACGCTTACTCCAGCTTTTAAACATTAGTGAATTCTGTTGGCTGTCATCCAAATTACATCACCTATCTTTTACTGTCTTTCATCTCTTTTTTTTGTTGTTGTTGTTAATGCAAACCAGCCCATCATCATCTTTTTCCTTTCAAGGGAAACCCCAGACCTACAATGCTGTACAATCACTCTGTTAGGGTGGTTCTTTTATTGACAGAGAGTGCATTTGTCACTAACCAACCTTCCTTTGTTAACTGCTGTATTAGCCAGACTGATAATAGTGTCTGCACATGGTAGAACTCAACAAAAACGCTGTAAATGAACTGCAAGTAAGGATCCCCATAGGATAGACATTTATAAATAAAAAGTCTGAGAATGTTTGCTTCAATGGTTATACCTTCCACAGTGGAACAGGAATCTTCTGGATTCAGTACATTTCATGAGTTTTCACTGGGGGCAGCATTAATTACATCAAGCAATCAAGTCGTTGCGCTGGTGCAATTTTGCCAAATATGTCTAGTGAAACTTGTAAATTTTTTCCTCTGTAATTCTGTTTTTCATCTATTGAATGCCAGTGGCAATGGTTGCCTTTATATACAGAGTAAACAGTTAATCACATTGTTTCTCTTTAGTGGTGTGGTGGAGTACGTCATTTCCTGTCCTCTGCTTATTAGTGTTCCGAGGACAGTTCCCAATGGATGCTGTTCTTGTGCAATTTTAAATGAAGAGGTTTGTTGCATTAAAGCACTAACAGTAGGTGACACCTTATTATATTAGCATTTTATTCCAGCATCAGTGTTCTCACAGGAGCAGCAATTTGCATTTGCAGCTACTTTACACTGTCATTGCTGGCTTGGTATTCATCACCACAGTGTACATTTAGAAGCTAAACGGGCATTAAAAGCAGGATGTTCATACTGGATTGCAGTGAGGAAAACTATGGCAAAATCTTAGAAACTAGAATCCTTGTGTCCTGGCTTCTAATTATTATTTTCTTTCTTATCCAAATGATCTGAATAAATGACCATTAAGACACATGGATCAAAATCCATGTGACATTAACTCAGCCAATATATAATATGGTTGAATTAAACAGCTGATGTGGTAAACTATTAAAAAATATGCATGAAGTCATGCAGAGACAATGAGCTTGTTTTCAGCCTTTCCCAGAGTTGCTGGGTGGTTAAAATTATAGCATGATTTTCTTTTATCTTTCTTGTGTGAAAGCGGAAGTAATATCACTAAGAACAATCAATTCTGAATTGTTTTATAAATGAGAAATTCAGCTAAGGCTCACTGGGTCAGATGCCAAATAAGAAAATGATCATCACTGTCCTTGAAGTACAGAACACAGGTAGACGGATGAAACACACTTTGCTTGCAGATAGTATTTGTAGAGATATGCTGAGTGTGTTAAGAAGGCTTGTCATTCACTAGCCACAACTACAGGTGTGTGCGCACACACATACACACACACACACAGTGGGGTGGGCATAGAGAAACAGATAGAGACAGACACACAGAAAGAGATAGACAGAAAGGAGGAAAAGAAAAAGGAGCAAGAAGAGAAGGAAAAGGAAAATAGTGGTGGTGATGGTGCTGCTGTTACCAGAGAAATCACCTCCTCCCTCTCTCCTTCTTTCCCTCTCTCCCTCTCCTCCCTCTCTGTATTTTGTTTCTAATATTTACAAACTTTTTATTGGCTCTTTGTAAATTTCACATCATGTACTTCAATCCCCTCTCCCTCCTCTCATACCTATCCTCCACCCCTGCAACCTCCCCCACAACAGAGTTTGTATTGTGTCACAGTGTGTCCCACAGTATACCCTTTTGTACACACTTCTTTATTTGCAGATGTTCATTCCAATGACCTGTTGATCTGGTACAAGACCTCTGGCTTCTGCCACTCTATCAATACTGGTACCTCACTGGGACTCCTCTCAGATATCCCGTTGTTGCCCTGTGTCATGGAGATCCTGTAGTTTTGGATCTGTGTGACCAGCCTCTTCAAAAACCCCAGCAGTTTATTGATTGGGGAGATGTTGGGACAGGCCAACTCAAAGCCCTGGATCTAGGCCTGAGAAGTCTTTGAGCTTGTCAGACCACTGGCTTTTTCTGCTCTCATCCCCTCTGGGCTGGCTCACCAGTAGGGACAGCTTTACCCTGCTGCCCAGGCAACGTTCAGGGTCTGCTCTCCTGAGTGCTGCATCTGGATCTCCTGTTCTCATGATCCTGTCATAGTGGTAAGGCATATGAATGCAGAGGACATCTCTTTCTCACCCACTCTGCCACATGTCAGACAAGTTGCTGGGCCAGCTCTCCCAGCATACACCCTCAGGGCTGACTTACTTGTGCCCTCACTATCAGGGGCAGCTCTACCATGCTGCCTAGTTTTGGTGCAGGGTCTGCCCTCCTGAGTGCTGCAGCTAGTATGGGGCAGGCCCAGTTCCCCTGCTCTCATGAGCCTTGTGAGGGGAAAAAAAGAGAGGCAAATGTCACTGCACAACAGAAAAGAGGCAGGGATAACTCTCCCATGCCCTTGCCCACAGGGCAGGCTCACCTGAAACCCTCATATCTAGTATGGTGCCCAGGTAAGGTGCAGGACACAATCTCCCAAGAGCTGCAGCAAGTGAGGGGCAGGACCAGCTCTCCCACTCTGTTGACCTCAGCCAGCTCTCCTGCCTGCTATAGGTGGCAAGGGGTAAGAGGGGGCATCTCTCCTTCACTCATGTCGCCACACAGCAGACAAGTGGCAGGGCCACCTCTCACATGATCATGCCCTCTGGCCAGCTCAGTGGCAGCCCAACCACCAGCATCAGCTGTACTGTGCTGCCCAGGCAAGGTGGAGGGCCCACTCTCCTAAGAGTTACAGCTGATGAAGGGCAGGGACAGCTCTCCTGCTTTCATGGCCCCATGGTCTAGTGGTCACTCCTCTCTTCTGCCTACTTGAGTGGCCCCATGTGAGGGTCATCTATCTCCAGCTCACTCACTGTGGTCCCAGGCAGGGTTTTTCTGGTCTCTTGCTTGCTCCCCATTCTGGAAGCCCTTCTGGGTGTGTACGGAACCAACTGGTGGTCTTTCAGGCCAGCTCCCTGTCCTGGCCCCCTGGTACCCCATTGGTGGTGTCTCAGTTTTGTTTTTAAGGAATGTTAGACAGCTAATCATTCAGATGTTCACAGGTCAGAATATTGAGAATACACAGCCTCTCTTGTCTCTTCTACCTACTGACTTCTATGTGTCACAACAGCTATACCTGCAACACCTCTAGGGACAGGGGTTCTCAGATTTATTAATTAAAAATGTGTTTTGATGATTATGCTAGATGAAGCCTATGAATTTAGAGACTCACAGCCAAGTATCAGGCAGAGCTCAGGAAATTCTGCAGCAAAAGGCAAGGAAAGATTGTTGCAGCAGGAGGAATCAAATATACCACAAGAAAACAGCCTACAGAATCAACTAACCAGGGCTCATGGAGGCTCACAGGGATTGAACCAACAATAACGGCCGTATAGGTCTGATGGGTCCTCTGTATACATTATGGTTGTATAGCTGTATACATTATGGTTATGTAGTTTTGGCAGAACTACTTAGAGTGGGAGTGGCATTGTTTCTGACTCTTTTGCCTGCTTTTCGGACCCCTTTTCTCTTACTGGTTGCCCCATCCAGCCTTAATATGAGGGCACATGTCTAGTCCTATTATAACTTGGTATTTCATATTTGGTTGATATCCCCGGGAAGCCTGCCCTTTCTGGAGGGAGAGGAGGAAGAGTGGATCTGGGGGGAAGGGGAGAAGGTAGGGGAGGGACTGGGAAGAGCAATGGGAGGGGAAATTATAGTCACATGTCATAAATAAAAGAAGACTAAATTTTAAAAATGTTTTTTGAAACAAACTCAGAAGGAAGCTCAATGACTTCTTTATTAGGGTTTCCAAAAAATAATAAGGTTGGCAAACTGGAAATCCCAGCAGCTACCAGGAGGGTGATGGGGAAGAAGAGAGGAAGCCATACCATTTGAGCTATGATCTGATAAAATCAGCATGTTCAGCAATGGAGACGGAAACAGAAGAGAGCTTCAGGGAAAGACCAAGAGAGCCTGAAATGTCAAGATAAACATTAGACCTTCTGGGCTAGAACTCAGACAATTACAAAACAGGTTAAGTGAGGAACTGCATTATTTCATTACAGAGATAATTATTCCTCCTACACCCTGGCATGCCATGAGTGAATTAGCCTTCCAAATGAGTTCACTCTTGGCCAGGTGGTTGATTGGCTCCAGTACATTTGATGGGTTGTCAGGGGAGGCAGCAGCAATTACAAAATGATAAATGGCAAATCAAACAAGCAATGATTTATTTCACACTCTGGTACATTAACCCTCACAGAAGGAAACCATAGTAAACCAGTTTAGAAAGTCCAGACTTTATTCAGAGCCAAATGTAATCTATTGTTTTGACCAGAAGGAAGCAATTTTTCCTTAAAGAGAGGCCTCTACAAAGCCCCAGGAAGGCTATCTTTTCATATTGTATTTAAAATCTTAAGGAAAGGAGAGCATGAACCTTCCCTTTCTAGTCTTACCAGGGAAATAATAGGTTCGATTCAAAGTGAATCATGAAGCAACACTCTGTCCTCAGTGACCAACAAGTATGATGCTCAACTGTCCCCCTTCTAGAAAGCAAACCCCAAACACCTTCCCCATTCTCATGGTAATGCTAGAAGTAGAGATGCCCTTAAGATTAATTTCCCTTCTTCATGTCACCTGAGGCCAAAGTCTTTTACTTTTTAAATGTATATTGGGGTTATGCTATATCTCCCCTACCCACTTGTTTATACCAGAAAGAAAAAGGAAAAGAAAATGACAAAAGAAGCTTACATAAACCTGGGGTGCTCTTTGCACTCAAGTATCCAACTTAGAGCAGGAACATTGGCCAGGCATTGCTGTCTTGAACCCTCTGAAACTCAACTGTCTAGTTTTAGGCATACATACAGGTCCAGTGGATATTATTTAAAGTGCCCTTCGATTTCTCTGAATATTCACCATGATGTCTCTTTTCAAAAGTTTAAAGACAGATCTCCATGCAGCTAGGCCACTCTTGAAGTGAGAGTTTCACTGGCTGTAATGCAGACTTCTAGGACTATAGAAGAGGCACAGAGAGCAGATAAAAGGATGTGCAGTGTCTAAGGCCAGCTTCCACAGGTCAGGAGAAACTGAGGTGAGGGCCTAGAGTCAGTGATTGTTCACTCAGCAGACTCTTCTCTGAAGGAATAAAGCTTAATTCACTGAGATCATCACTTCCTGTGACCAGTGAGAAAGTCTCTGAATGCTTTGCAGGCCGATGAGAAGGATAGAAGAAAAAATGAGGGGGAGGAGAGAGGGAGAGAGACAGAGAGAGAGAGAGAGGGAGAGAGAGAGTCGATAAATGAAACAAGACAAGCTCCAACAATTTCACACATACACGTATGTACATACATACATACATACAAACACATTCACTCATTGGGAGGATGGAGCAACCATCCAACCACTTTACATCCATGTACATACATGCATTTTGTGGAGAGATGGAGCAAAGCTCCAACCACTTTATTTTTTCCTCTCACAACTTATATATCCTAGAGAAACCTTTCGGGCAGTACAAAAATCACACTGTGCTATAGTCTATTTTTCTTTAAGTGAATAATTACAATGAGTATATATAAGAAAGAACATGTTCCCCCACCATCACATGATCAAATGTTTTACATACTCTGGGTGAAAACAAATGTGAAACCCATATTATTCCCAAGAACCCACATACATTTGTAACTATACAACTTGTTATAGATTAACAAAATGTAAGCAAGCAAGGGACTTTTCTCAGTCAGTTTCTCTTACTGGTAGGCTATAATTTGTGGTGACAAAAAAAAAAAACCAATCAATTATTTTAGTATTTATTTTAAAAGGTAATCTTATAAAAATCTTAAAAGAATCACAAATCTAAACTTATATAAAAATAATCAGTCATTTCTACTTTAAATCCGCATGATGCACATTTACTCATTATCAGCATGTTATTAAATCATATTAGGAAGCTGAAGACAAAAATGGGTACAAGAAATCAATTTCTATCTTGATCACCAGTCCAGTATCATGTCCGTTAGTGCTGCCATTGTTGTTATCCCCTGACCTTAAAGTATCCCTACCTTAACTATTAAGAGTGTGTCTTTCTAAGCTTCAAATTGCTTTTTAGGATTTTCTACATCAGAGCCATTGACACAAACATCTTAATCTAACTTTACTAACAATCTATACCTTCAAATTCTTTCTAAGGGTGATGGTCACTGCTAACAGTCCACATTTAAGTTATATTAAGTTCTTCCCAAGAGTGGTGATTGAATCTGTTCCAGCAGAAATGGTTGAAAAGACCAAGCAGTATTATTGTGAGTACCAATGTACTGCCCAGTGGGAGGCTGGAAGCCCTCTTAGAATCTTCACAACACATGGATTAGGAAGGACATTAAGACCTGGACAACAACAAGCAGAGTGACACCCCATAATAGCATGAAGACCACAGGATATATAGTCCTTGGGCGCTGGGCCTCTCTGAGACACACCATTGTGGCCAGATTCTCTTCACATTTTCTAAAGCCCTTTGTTGTTCCTCTTGCAAGGGCCTCAGCACTGTAGCACAAGTCTTTAGCAAACAGGCAGAGAAAGGAGACATATTTTTAATGATCACAGCTTTTGGAATGTGGGGAAGAACTTTTGGACACAACAACAGAAAAGAAAACCATAAATGATTTTCTCTGATGAATGTAGCGGCTAAAGCTCCAATGAAATGTGTATACTCAGTTTGACCAAAAATTTAAAAACATGCACTATAATCAAGTCATTTTGTTGCAGAGATGAAACTTCAGTTTAACATTCAATCTCAATTAATAAAATAAGGAAGTCAAACAGCATTTTATTAGATTGACACACAATCATACAGACATTCTTTAAAAAAAAGTCAATATCTCTTCTAGACAAGTCTTCCTTCTCCAAGGACTCTCATCTTTGTACACTTATTCTTCAAATAGTAGCCCTGTTTGGGAAGTTTGTGATGCCTTTAGGAGATATAGCCTCATTTGAGGAAATGGATTACTGAGTATAAGTACCTTGATGCTTTATAGTCTGGCTCCACGTCCTGGTTCATGCTCTGATTCCTGAACATGAGTGCAACACAAGCAGCTAAACTCCTTCTTGCTCCTATCGTCATGTCTGGGAATTTCCATGATGTTGAACTTTAAAATAATGAACTAATTTGTTTGCAGAAGTTGTTTCAAGAAAGGAGAACATTCAAGATAATGTAGAGAGAAGAGTTATGGTTAATAAAGAGGTCAAAACCATTGAGAAAAAAACTAGAACAACAGGAAACCTATCCTGAGAGCAAACTACACCAGTTGGAGGATCCGTGTTATGGAGATTTAAATTAATTTCCAAGAGGAAAGCCTAGACTGAATTGAAAGGGAGGTAGGAGGACACCAGAGGATGATTGGGGAGTAAATATGATTAGAGTACAGTGATACAATCTACAAAATATGTCATCACCTCACTTTGCTGTATAGTTAGTAGATTTTTAATAAAACATCATCAAACATATTAAATATTAATCTCACATATTAAAAAAATAATATGAAGTCCAAACTTACACCAACTACCCTAGAATCTATGGTTGAAGCTAATGCCTTTCAAGAAAAAGAATGAAATCATATGTTTAGGATCTATTCTAATATGTCTGGTATTGTCACAGGAAGAGGAGATTGGAATGTAGACTCACACAGAGAAAAGGCCATGGGAAGACAAAGGTGACAGCCATATGCATGCGGAAGAGGGAGGTTTGAGGAAAGCCAATGCTGATCTCAGACTTCAAGGTGCGATAGCTGCTAACATGGCTACACTGTGATAGTAATTTTCTGTTGCTTAGACCCTTGGTCTGTCATACTTGATTGTGGAAGAAAAAAGAAGAGCAGATATAAACCTCCATAGATTTCATTTACCTTGTTTTCTAGGTCAGGATACTAAATATCAGCAAATAAAAAGAAATGTCTTAGCCAGGCAGTGGTGGCACACACCCTTAATCCCAGCACTTGCGAGGCAGAGGCAGGCGGATTTCTGAGTTCGAAGCCAGCCTGTTCTACAGAGTTAGTTCCAGGACAGTCATGACTACACAGAGAAACCCTGTCTCGAAAAATAAATAAATAAATAAATAAATAAATAAATAAATAAATAAATAAGAAATGTCTTATACTAACACCAG